TTGGGTTCACAAACATAAGCTTTGTATTATTGTTCCCTCCACCCCTTAACTCATCTTTGTATTTCCGTATTAAACCTGATGATGCTGTTGGCAGCAAGGCCTGTTGGGTAACATAAAACGTGCTTTGATGCACTGAGTACAGAACTGTAAAACATAGCTCATATAATTCACTGTCATTCATTCATGTGCATCCTCAAGGGAATGTGGTGGCCCAGGAATGCTGTTTTTGGTATGTGGGTGCTTCAGATATGCTTGTTTTTTGAATGGGGAAGTCAGAGTAGTCAAACTCATGAGCAGCAACAAAGTTCAAGTTAACATCTTTGAAGGACAATGCAGTTAATGAAGAGGAGAAATAGCAGTTTCAAAAGCTGAAGTAAGAATGCGTCACAGGGAAGTAGAACATGGCTACGGTCAGGAAGAAATATGAAGCAATGACTGGGGAATTTTTGTTTTGATACAGGATGTTTCTTTGAACAAAATGTGATCAAGGGTTGTTCTAATCAGGTTCAAGCACCAAAGTAGAGTTCCCCCCCCCCATTTTTTTCTCCCCTGTTTTCATATTACACACCAGAAGACTTCATTTTTCATTCCCGTCATAATGTATGTCTACTTCAGGTGCAGGTCCAAACACATGAGCCAGTTGCCTCCCTGACTGTCAAAAGTCTCCATGAGCTACAAAGGTATGTATAAAAACAGGCTTTCCTTTATGCTGTGTACTAACTATGCTCTTGAATCAGCAGAGTAATCCACCACTGAGTTATCTGCAGTATGTGCTTAGAAAGAACCAAATGTAAAATTCAGTAAGTTTACAGAATGAGGACAAAAGTATGCCCTCCCCTTAAATATCTTTGAATTACCTTTCTTTCCAAAGTTTTAGCAGCTTTTTTTGCACTGTGTGGCAGAAATATCTGTGGGGTAATATCACTCAAGTCTCTTAAAGCTGAAGAAATGAAGTGCTATACAGTATATATATTGATATTCTGTGGAAAATAAGACAAAGAGAATCCTCGAAGACAAAGAAGTCTAGAAGTTTAGATGACAAAGTGAAAAAGAGAAAAAAGTTGAAGTTTTGACTGAAGAAAGACATGGCACTGATAATAGTGATATCTAAATACACATCAGTGATAGCTAAAATACACATTGCTGTAATTAAAAAATGTAGCTTGCAGGTATTTCTATAAGGTCAAGTTTGTTGGTAATTAAAGATGATTCATCTACAATGTGTTGCGAAGTAATTAATAACTGCATTGTTTTAACATAACTATGGCCTAATTCCACAGATGTTTGTCATATATTAAGCTGGACTTCTATTTCCCTTTACTGTCATCCTTATTGGTGTCAGCTGAGCTAAATCTGCTGAATTTTAATGGAACGGGTTCTTTGCTTTCTTCTCTGGAGCCATTTTGTATGCCTGTGTAATGGGAGAGCAGCTGCTAATTTCACAACTAAAGTCCAAACACCACTAGTTGGCAGCAGTGATTTGCATTGTTGTAATGAAGAGGAGACATGATTATTTTCTTCAAGTACATCCCAGAGATTGAACTAGAGCAAAGACAATTGAATTTATAAGATATAGAAAATTATGTGGAAAAAAATAGAAGAGAAATAACAAGCAGGTTTCTAATCACCAGAGGAATGAAGCTCTGTAACAGCTCTCTAGTGAGAAGAGCAATAATTGAAGTGGCTTTAAAACAGGACTTGGTAAATTTATGAAGGGGACTGTGCAATGTGTTTGCCTGACAGCTCTGAACTCGGTCAACCAGAATGTCTTTCACAGCTTGGCTTTATAGGTTTAATTGATAAACATTTTACAGCCACTTTGCATTCATTTTGCACAATCTAAAGCCAGGGGTTTAGGTAGGTATAAGGCCAGTTTCAGGAGGTAAGGGACCAGCTGTGTCATTAAAACAGGATGCTATAAAGAAAGTAGTACCAGTAATAAGGGTTGGCAAAGGGGAGGTGAAATGGAAGGTTCCTATAGTTCATCTTTAAGCTACAAAACATTAATAAAAATCAAAATATGAAGGAGGGATTCATCTAAAAGACAGTCCTCTAAAGGTCTAGGTTCCCCAGCCTCTTTCTGGAGAGAAGTAGGCCTCTTCAGAGGTTGACCCAAACTAGGTACCTGAGAATTCAGCAATTTATGTTGCTTTGCCCCAGGGATTCACAGCTGCTCCCAGCAAGTAACTTCTGATTTGAGCTGTACAGCCAAAGACCCAGAAGTCTAGCAAGGACCAGAGTCCATGTGAAGGGGCAGGGTGTCCATACAAGAGCACTCTCATCTTGATTAGTGCCCAGGCTTGGGACAGGGCGTTTCAACAGAAAGCCACTCTTGCTAACGTAGACTCCAACTGGACGTTTTGAAGGACATCTATGAAGAGATCTTTCTTGCCAAAAATTCTTTCTCCATGCTTTCCGTGCATGGGAGGGCCTCATCCTTTAAGTTCTTCCTTGCTGGGTATGCTCAGGTTACACTAGAAATTCTTTGTTTTCAGTATTTATTCTCAGATTTTATGATAAGGTACAACAGCAATAGAAAAATGTGAGATGACAGCAGTGACAAATATGCCTGTCCCGAACTCCTCTGTTCACTGGTATCTGGTAACATGAACTTGGTGACTGAACGTGCCTTTGCTTTCTAGATATGAGTGTGCTGTGCTGCAGTACCTGCCTGTGGGCTCTCTAGAGAGAGAACAAACATTTAAGGAAGGGCTAATACCAAGTGTCAGTGCCTACTTGGGCACAGTGCAGAGCCTTTCTGCGATACTTAAGTTGAGCTAGACCGCACAGTGCTTTCTTAATTTTCTCTGAGTTATACAACTTTGTACTACACAAGAATAACAGAAGAGCCATTATTATAATCCACATGGTATGAGAAACTTCAAAACAAGGAAAATACATACATAATGGATTTATTGTGCAGTATTTTGGTTACATAAGCATGGTACAACACACTTCAAATTACTATATGTGGGAATAAGGCTTTGGGATCCTGGCTTCCAAAAGTCTTGAGTCTCAGCGTGAAACCCCTGACCTCTTGAGGCCAGTGATAAAAATCACTGATTTCAATAAGGCCTGCATTTCCCTTCAGATCTCTTCACCCCACTCTTACCAGCTGCCACTCTGTCACAACCCATAGAGAAAAAATGTAAAGAACTATCTCATTATAACCTATCTGTGCATCAGCCTTCAGTAAGAAAAAAATGTCACTGAAGTAGACTGTCACAGTTTCTTTTTTAACTTTACAGAAATGAGGACAAGTTGAAAAGCAGACACAATACGTCTCTCCAAAGAGAAAGTTAAGAACAATGCAGATATTTTTTTCAATAAACAAAAAAATAATATCTTGCTGAAATTATTTAGTGGTAGTAGATGGGACCCTTTTTCACCTTGAAACTGGAAAACACATATATTTGTAGACAGCTTAGCAAATACTTCAAAATGTTTTCACTGATGACATGAAATAAGCTTGTTAATTTCATAAATCATGGATATTAAAAAAAAATACCCTTCTTTGTGCATAGTCATAAACCAAAATATTAGGGAAAGATGTACTCCCATTGTGCAAGTCTGAATCTTTTGCAATCTTCTCTTTCATTCAAAAATTTTGGCATGAAAATAATTGGAAAATAATGGGATCTGGATGGTTCAGAGGTACTATGTTATGCTAAAATTCTCAAAATTACACTGAAAATCCCAACAAGAAAAATTACATAACAAAGAATAGATAACTTCTAATATCCTATTTAATTTTTAATTAGAAAATTACCATTGTTGATGGAACATCAGTGCACAGCATCTTGCTAGATTTATTAAAATCCAGTTAGCTCACAAGTTTCTTGGCATATTTACAAGTCCATGCAAATATATTTAAATATAAGAATTATAGATATGAACTAACTGTTAACTTATAAGTCCATAAATAAAGGTGTTTTCTACTGTGATAGTAGTGTCACCTGGAAGCTGTATTTTGATCATTTGTAATTATAACACACATTTTCTTTATATTTATTTAGTTATTTATTTTGGTGTTTTAAAATGTTTTTATTCAATAACCTAGAATATGTACAAAAATCAAAGCAATCAATTGCTTAGTGCATATGATCCCAGAAGTAGTTTCATTTCCTCCACAGAGTAATTATTTCTCTCCTTTCTCTCTCCACAAGGCCAAAATCTGATTAAATGTCCTGTTTTCCTTGCATGAGAGGATTCTGTTCCTGTGGAGATATGGTGGTATGGCTTCTCCAAATTTGCATCTAGGAGGTGTATTACTGAAAAAATCAGATTCTCAATCTATGATGTTGATGACATGGAGAATTCATCTGTTAAAATGGCACCTGCATTTCTATCTTGGGAAAAGTAATCTGCCTTCATCTTAGACAGTCTTTTATGGACACTGTTGTAAAGAGTTACTGTGTTTTCTGATAGTTTTATGGCTTTGAACAAGCCTCTTAAATTCTTGACAACTGTTTCCTTGTGTGTTTATACTGATTTTCAGGATTGCTCAATAATGTCTGCTAAATTCAGTAACAGCAATAAATAGCTGTTCCCTTTTATCAGCATGTTTGACAAATCTTGCTTGCACTTTTTTGCTCAAAGAGCTAGATATGAAAAACGGTCTGGTTAGTCACAGCTTCTGCAATGGTTTCCCATTATGCCACCTTGTTCCTTAGAAATGCAGGTCTTCAGGAAGTGGTCAGAAAGGATTTCTCATTGAATTTCATTAGAATTTCATTGATTCTAGGTAGGAGAAAAGTAACAATATTCTCGGTCCAGGAGTTTCTGAGGTGAGACTGAAGTTCTTCAAAATGCCAACACTGATGTATTTATTGGAATAGTTTTATATTGCTAGGCTGAGTTGTAGCATTCCTCGTGCTCTGTGTTTACATAAAAGCAAAAGCTTAGAAAAGGAGTAATCTTTTTTCTGGTCCTCATGGTCCAATTTTCACTTTCTTCTACTTCCATCTGATGATCTGCTGAGGACTGTTATAGCAACCAGTCTAGGAACTGGTTTTCACAATATTAATCACATTTTCCTTCTCTCTGTCATATTTATAGGCTTTTGGACCAGAAAAGAAGTAAATAAATCCTTAACAATGAGAAAAAGGAAAAAAGGAAAAAGGAAGTGTTCATTACAGGAAATAGCTCATTCTGAGGGCTGTGTTGTAATAGTTCGAAGCTACATATGCATGTTACATAGTGATCATAAAATCTGAGTGACTTAATACAAGTCCATATTTCCAGGCTTGTTTTCTAGCAGCTTTTTACATTATAGAGCTGCAACAGGCCTCACAGAGTTTTAAAAATACAGAATTAGCATATAATGCTACATTACTAGTGATAAGTTTTAGGTCTGGGGCTGCAAAGTTTGGGGAGTCAAGTTCAAGCACAAGTTCACACCCACACATTTGTTTGTTTTGTTACAGCAGCATCTAGTATAGTATTCTCAAATTTGCGATAGCAGCCCAATTAGAATTAGATGTTGAATTCTAGAGGTAAGCCTTATCTGCCAAGTGAAAGGTTTCATGAGTGGGAAAGTCCTGGTTTGGGAGCTTAGGCAGAATTGAGACCCATGATATCAGATGGCAGATAAACAAGAATAGACACTTACATTTGATCAGTTCTCTAGGCTCTTCCAGTGTAGTAATTAGATCTCCATTGAATAATTTACATGCAGACAGCTATATTAGGTTTAGATACCAAATCAAGTATCTGAACCTTGAATCAAAGCCAACTTGGGGGTGAGGTTCAATTGCCCATATATAAGTACGTAAGGAAATCTGACATGCAGCGTCCCACATGGCTTCCAGGTGCTTCTCTAGAAAGACATGGGCCCCCATTTGTTTTGTGCCATGTCTCCCTGTTCTGTGTGGATGTCTTGGGTACCTGAGTCTTTGCCATTAAGTAGTCAGCACTATGCATGTAGTTGTAGGCAACTGGATCTTGCCCCAGGTGTTTGACTTCTGAACAGCTAGTGCTTGATGCAGCTGTCTAAACGTAAGCATCAAGTGCTATTTGAAAGGCCCTAGAATAAATTACCTGGCCTTCAGGTGCCTGTCCAGAGGGCATGACCTTACCATATGTCTTGTCTCATACCTGCCAGCCCCATACGGGTGTTTTGAATACCCTCAGGCCTCTCATATGGCAAATGAATTTCTAAAGTTAGACAGGATGAACTTAACCTTAGTGATCAAACCAGTTTCTAACCTGATTTAAGATAGCTCTATAGTCTACTTTGAAAGCAGTGTAGTTTAAAGACAGCCAAGTCAGCTTTAAACTGAATTGCTTGGGTGCCATTTAGAGTGTAAGTGAGTAGCTTGAAGCTTGCTGTAGCTAAGGATTTACCCTGTTCCGATAGTACATGCTGAGCTTCATGCTGCTGCAAATCTAGGCTGTTCCTGAGGTGCTTTATCTAAACTTAGCCTGAATGTCAATTATATGTTTCAGACAGAACAGGCAAATTCACTCTCATGCATCTTTAGCTTGCTGTCATGAAGAAAAATCTTGGTGAAGAATTTCTGGGATCAAACCTCATGCTTGCCACATCCTGTCTGAGTTCATGAAATGCCCCTACTGCTATCTGTAGGCGAAAATGTCTGCTGGCAAACCCACATGTATGTATTTGTTGTTGCATCACTAAGAAGGGTTTCACAATCATCTCTAGACAGAGCTCCCAGAAGCAGTTCCTGCTGTTGGAGAGTAGATGTGAGCCCCAGTGAGCACCATCTGCTGTGGACTGATACATCTGAAAATCTGCAGAACGTGTTTTGCATTGAATGCATGTCATTAGCTATTGCTACCTGCCACAGGAAAAACTGTTTGCCTTGCTGTTACCAATTCTCTTTTCAGTTTTCTCATGCTCTAGACAAGCTATTTGTATTTTGGAAAAAAGATCTTTCTGCTCTTAACTGTTTAATAACTAAATTCTTTTTTCTGAAAAAAGGTTGTTTATTTTATAGGGACTTCTTTATCTTTTTAGAATCATAGAATCGTTTAGGTTGGAAAAGACCTTTAAGATCATCAAGTCCAACCATAAACCTAACACTGCCAAGTCCACCACTAAACCATGTCCCTAAGTGGCACATCTACATGTCTTTTAAATACCTCCTGGGATGGTGACTCATACACTTCCATGGGCAGCCTGTTCCAGTGCTTGACAACCCTTTTGGTGAAGAAATATTTCCTAATATCCAATCTAAACCTCCCCTGCCACAACTTGAGGTTGTTTCCTCTTGTCCTATCGCCTGTTACTTAGGAGAAGAGACTGACACCTACCTTGCTACAACCTCCTTTCTTCATTGCAATGATGACTATCACCCCACTAGCGTGCCTCAGAGACTCAGCTTACACCATTAGCCAGCATTGAAATCTGTGTTACCCCAACTCCGTTTTTAGCAATACCTGAGCTGTTGACATGTAGTGTCCAAAGGTAACACAGGCTTGGTTATTTAGGATGCACTAACGGTAGCACATTGGTACATTCATTGTCAACCAACTCAAATTCATTGTCAAATCAATTCTAAAATACCGATGTCAGTACAAACTACCTTCTCCACTTGTTATTAACATTTGTGGGTTCAATATGGGCCACTCACTTCTTCGTTATAGAATCATAGAATCATAGAATCATTGAGGTTGGAAAAGACCTCTAAATCGAGTCCATCCAACCGTCGACCCAACAC